GCCGACATTTGCTAAAAAGGAAATTTATGACGTTGCAAGTGGCAGTAGTGACGCTATAAAAATGCTCAGGCGTGCATTTRCTGTCATATCTCAAATTAACCAACAAGATAAATGTGTAGTGCCGCGAAAAAAACGCATACATTTGAGTTGGAGCATGTTAAATGGCTTGGGGGCAGCTAAATGTTGCATAAATGCTGCGTGAAAATCAACTTCTTAGCTGATGTATTGTCTGCGTATGTGTGCTGGTTTAAATTATTTTTTGTAATTTCGAAAATTTGCTGTCAAAAAAAAAGCGCTGGTGTGCACAAGGGTTAAATGAGTTACGGAGTGCAAATTTAAACCTTTAAACTTTTTCTGGAGGATTATAAAAATAGACAAGCACAGAKGATCGGAGCTTTAAAGCTAAATTTTTTTCATGTACAGATAATTCAGATGTCAGATATTTATTTCATGATATTTATGTCATGTCATAATGTCAGATATTTATTTCATGCTATTTATGTCATGTCATAATGTCAGATATTTCTTGTCAAGGCCGTAGAGAGAAAATCGTGGTGTGGGCATGATTGGCGTGACTTATTGGAGAGCATGGAACCCCAGCAAACCACACCTCCTCCCCCCCTGAGAAGTCCGAGCGTAGAAGGAATTTTCTCCGATCACTCCCTCTCTCTTTCACTGTCTTTAGTGCTGATTTATGTTTTCTATTATGCTTAGAGTTGCCGTATTTTTTTATTTGCAGCATTAAACAGTTATTTTGTCACCTTAGTAAATTGTTTGAAGCTCTTTTACAGCAATATTTCGGTATATAAATTTTTATACGTAACTAAAAACATGTATTTTTTGCTTTTCCAGAGTTGCCACTTAGTTTTGGTAACAATAAAGAACTACAAGATACTGAGATGTGGTACAAATTTGCTGTTAGGTCCTTAAAATGCGCTTTCGTATTAATTTCTAATAACATTTTGGATTTAATGAAAAAAAAATATAATTTTTTTTATTTATCAACTCGCAGATTAGTCTAGAAAAACTAACCGGCACTAATTACCACAATAAGTGAAAGATACGAGAAATTTCGCAGCCATGAAACCTTCTTAGTATTGAAAAGAGTCGTGTTTGAGTTAATTAGGTCAGTTGAGCGGCCCAACGTCATAATACATGCAACTCGGGTGTCAAAGTTGGCAACGCTTTATAATTAATTTTCGCCGCACAAAATAAATCTTTTGCCAATTAAAAGGCATGGCGACTACGCAGACAAAAAGCAGAATGAAGTGCGTTCAAGCGGCAAGAAAATGAGCTGACAGCCGCTACAGCGAAGCACCGACCGGGCCAAAGATCATAYATGCAGGCTTTGACGTTCCGCGCGCGTTTCAAGACACTTTTCTTGTTGTTTTTGTAATTAACAAACAAAAACAAAAATAACTAACAAATATACATATGCGCTGGTGTATAAATTTAAAGAAGTTATTAACATGGTAATTATTTCGATGCGTGCGAAGAGGCGGCTGCTAGAAGCGCGGCGGTGTGTGCGGACAGCCAGACAAGTTTTTTGCGTTTAAGTCAAGAAGACTAATGACTGCGACGCCATTATGAAGTTCGCAGCAACGGCAACAGTTCATCACTGTTAAGCTGCGTCATCAACAGACTTCAAAGTCACACCACCGACCGCACGGCCGACGTGAGTGCGCGCATGCGTTGAAGTAAATAAATGATTGGCACACTTTYATGACGACTGTCGGTTGCCAGTTGGCGCAAAGCAAAACTCATATATATACATTTTTTCTTTTATTTGCGATTTTCCACTACTTTTCCACCTGCAATTACTGTTCAAATTWATTGCTGATTTTTCGCAAAATTTCGCTTTTCAGCAGTTGTGACAGCGCGCCTGTGAAAACGCCCCGAAATGTCAAACAAAAAATGCAAGGCAACAAGAAAAGTGCAACTAAAAGTGTGGCGGCCAAAACCAAACAAAAAAAAAAAAAATGACCAACTGTCTGCGCGCCGCATGCAACTCGTACATTTTGGTAGCAGTCGTAGCATGGCGGTCCGGGAGCAAATTGCCAACTGCAAACGTTATCATTTGTATTTGGCTTTTSCTGTGCGCGCGGCGTTTGCTATTTCTCAGCGAGTGTTTTTTTGCGTTTTCCAACAAAGCTTCCGTGCGCCACGGTCAGCTGGCAACTGGTTTGTTGGCAAAAAGTAAAAAAATAACGCCAAAAAGCCCAACACCCAACACTTGGCTGCGCTGGCAGCTATTAATTTTTGTGGCGGCCCAGCTGGTTGCATGGCACATTGCAGCCGTTGCTTCCGTTGTCGTTGTGCGCACAGTCGGTAGTGGCATTATTACGGTAAATCGCGCCAACGATCACAACTAACACATACAYATATTTTTTTGTAACACATACAAACAACATTTGTTTGTGTGCCACTGACAGCAGTCAAAATATTGCCAATTACCGCTGTTAGCCRCGTTAATCTTGCAGTACGCCTGCTGCCACAGTTTGTGTCATTTGCAAAACGTACGTTATATATCAGCTTCAGCTTGACGCTTGACAAGTGGTACAGCTTACGATATAGAAAGCTGCGATTTTTTAAAAATATTTTTCCTTTTT